CATGGGTAGGAATCCAAAATTACAAGGTCTCTTTATGTCCTATGGAGAGCATATCAGATGGCACGAGATCTGAACGTTGAGGTCTAAAGGTGGCGGGCAAAGAAAACAATACAAGTGAGGGCATAACAAAGAGCTTCCAGACTGGGGCGTGATAAAAACAAAAAAACTTCAAACTACAGGAAGTGTAGGGCCGGAACAATGGATATGGAGAGTCAGCAGAGCTGCCACGTCGGTATGTGATAGTGTGCACGTACGAGGTCGAGTTTGGAGACAATGTTTGTGTGGCATAAGGTACTTGAGAAATCGTGGATATGTGATATGGGACACCTGTCTGGGATAGTGGCGTTGTTCAGAGAACTCTAACCTCCACGAGGTAGTCAATCAATTTAAGGTTTCTTGGGTACCATATGCAGGTTTGACGACTAGTGACTCGCTGAAGTGCGGAAGATGCCGAGTTCGAGCATGTGCTTGAACTCGTGCTTCGAGATTTGAAGCTTATCTGGATGAAGTCGACATGGGTTGGTATGGACAGGTGGACCTGTCGTTTGGGTGTGGTGAACGACGGAATGAGTTGCCGGTTGAGTGTAATGACATGGTTGAATAAGGGTTGGAAGATCCCTAAGAGTGGCATCATCATCATCATCGACGGCATGACATCAGTGTTCAACACCGATGCTTCACCGCCGTACAACCATGACTTATTTGAAAGCCTTATCGTAAAGAAAAGAATAAAGGTGGATGGGGGCTGGACTTAGCGCTAACCTAACACAATCATTCCGAGGTGCCTACACCTCCAGACATTCACTCAGGCAATCTGGACAGAAAGAATGTCAGCAAAATGTGTATCCGGTAAGGTAACTCGGATACATGTGGACGAAGCTGGGGCAGTAATTCCGTTGACCGAAAGGTAAGTTAGGATGTCCGAGAGAAATTGCTGTCGAGCATCAACAGATAAGTCGTAGTGGGTCAGGAAATCTGCACCAATGATGGGTGTTTAGACGTCGGCCAAAAGGAAGATCCACTTGAACGCACGTCGCAATCCGAGGTCAAGGGTGAGGGAACGCTCGCCGTATGTAGCGATGCGGGTACCGTTAGCGGCTTGTAACGAGAAACAAGCAGAACTGGGAAGTGAATTCTTATGTGGTAGCACGCTAACTTCAGCTCCCGTATCTACGAGGAAACGTGGACAACTACGACGGTCAAAGATGTGGATTAGGCGACTAGTGCAAGGAGGGCCACAGACAATCGCCGCCGTTACTGAGTGGCCGGGGTGTTTAAAGGCCTGTTAGAAAGTTGCTTGAAGGAACAAAGCGGTTGGCATTTGCGCGCTTTAGGACCAAAAAATTGGTGATTCCAGCACCAAGGGGGACAGGACCGAGACAACGATCGAGAGCGTGAACGTGGTCGATGCTTGTTGACCTACAGCCGTTGTAGTCGATCTGTCAAAGTGTCAAACTTTGCTTGTAATTGTGATATGGGAGCGATAATTGGATCGGAATCTAGGGATATAGTGGGTGCAGGGAGGGAGACTGAGTTAGCAGGGTTACTCGGGTAGATTTCGTGGATTATATCCGCCATTTGGGCTAGCTGCCCCAAGCTGTGGTCATCACTAATGACGTGGGAAAAGAGGGTGGAAGTTAGTCAAGCCACAGTTGGGCCATGATTTCTACCGCTAGCTTACTACCGCAGAGAAGGTAGCATATGGCATCTACCGCTAGCTTACTACCGCAGAGAAGGCAGCATATGGCGAAGCAGTTGTGATGGCGATCTGTGGTGAATAAGTCCCAAAACATTTTGTTTTCGTACTTCCCTGTCCTACTGATGATGGGCGCTCGAAGGGTGTCACAAGGATTCTCCTTGAGGATATCTTCCAGAAGATCTTCTATTTCTGTTGCTACATCACAAGGGCGATGCTGGGCGACACAGGAAAAACGGGTGGCTTAAAGTGATGCGCCGTGTTGTAAAAATGGTTTCCACGTGCTGAAATCATACCCTGGGATTGCGGGGATTATAGTCTGGTAAACGTATGCTAATTGCATCCTCGACTAAATCCGCTGAATCAGTGTGCCTCCACAATGACCGGGTAAAATTAAAAAAAATCACGGCGACTTGAAAGGAAATTTTAAAATATATCTAGAAAGGCTCGGGCTCGCCAAATTTGTAGTGGTCTGGCTACCCAGTGAGTTGCTTTACCAGAAGTGTGCGGCAAAGAAATAAAAATAATAACGTTAGATTGGTTATGCAATAATAAGGAGGTCAAATGGAAAGGACTCACCAACAGTTGTTCTCTTTAAGATAGTTCGTCGTTGGCCCGGGTTAGCGAATGAACAATAATCTAATCATGGTTGCCCAGGGGGTTTTCTTGTACACAGTTCCCACATATAATAGATCCCGAAGATAGTCTTAAGTGTTTTGATACTGGAGTTAGCAGACGGGACTCGCGAATGACCGCCGTAAGCGTAAGCGAACACAGAAGGGAGAGCTGTAGCATGTGGCCACGTTTGTGTTGCATGAAATTGTACAAGTGCGTGTTTTTGTATTTTTTCGTATTCCAACAACGATTACGCAGTTCCCACATATAATAGATCCCGAAGATAGTCTTAAGTGTTTTGATACTGGAGTTAGCAGACGGGACTCGCGAATGACCGCCGTAAGCGTAAGCGAACACAGAAGGGAGAGCTGTAGCATGTGGCCACGTTTGTGTTGCATGAAATTGTACAAGTGCGTGTTTTTGTATTTTTTCGTATTCCAACATAAAACGATTACGCGATTGACAAAGTACATAATGTACGTAATGTATACTGGAAGCAAAATAAAGGCACAAATCGCCAAAATACAAACACTACACCACAGACGACGTCCAACATACAGGCAATGAAGCGTCTACCAGTAAAATGTCAGTAAGACGTTCGGTAAAACTATTGACACACAAATAGTGTGCAGACATTTAGCGCTCTCATGTTACCGATATTCTTACCTATCGCCCACAATGGAACATTCCATCTGCTAACCGAAAGGAAACGTGGCGACGCGGGACCCTATGACCTTTGTTTTTCACACCCATTAGAAAGGTTACTAGCTGAGGGAGACAATACCTAGCAGAAGCGGAGCCAGATAGAATCGTGTGGATCCCATGAGTTCAAGGGCCCGCTTACTCCTGTGTACAAATACTAATCCGATAGGCTTTTTCGTTGAAGCTACTAATGCATGGTGGGACATGGTGAGAAGATCCCTAAGAGTGTCCAACTTTTTTGGACAAAACTTTTTTCTCATAACGGGTAGTTGCTGCGTGGAATATCACTCCTCCGGCAGTTGTTCACGCATCCTCTAGGATTCTTTACAGTAGTCATCGCGATGGTAAGCTTACCACCGAACTCTGAGAAATTAAGTAGTGATGCAACACAAGTTTGTGGCTTGCGCCTTTCAGGAGAACAGAAGTCAGTGAACGAAAATAGCAGTCCTTCATGGGAGGCTTGGGAAAATGCCTTGATCCTGTGTATTAAACCGTGAATCCGTGAAAAGCTCAATGAGCCAATCAGAGTGCTAGTTCGCCACCACACATAGCCTCGACTGTTGGGGTCATAGCTGCGTGCTTCGCGTCGTCCGATGTCGTCCACTCAACAAGACGACTTCCTTCATCAGACTAAGTCTGTTATCATAGCGCTCGAATCCCTTAAGTCAGAACAAGAGAAGGCACTCAACAACTATCATTCTGTGATCGGTAACGATCGGGAAGTTGACGCCCCTCCGAATGGCACAGTGAGCCCTGCGAATGTTATTATTGAACGGATACGAAACGGTTTAGATGATGCCGATGTACGTTTACAGTTATAACCCATTCTATATATCTAGATTTTGGTAAAGCTATATGAGTATATACAGATAACTGACGCGGAGAAACAAAAGCTGCGGTATCAAGCCAGGCGACTGTTTCAGGAGAATGCGTGGTTGCGTGAAGAGCTTTCGACTACCCAGCACTTACACTGGGAATGTGAGAAGAAGGTTGTTGTGCTTGAGGAAAAAATCAAACAACTGGAGTTAAATGCAGAACTTCGGAAGTATGACTCGAATGAGCATGCGGATTCGTCTGGCTTAGCTGATGGGGACAGTACGAATAAAAACGCTACAGATATGGGTTTTCCACAAGACGACGGAGATCAGGATGGTGAGTTGATTTAGGCCTTGTTTTTCATGTCAATAGCCCCTTTTGATGAAACTTCCTAGGTATCTGTCTGTTGCCATCGTTAATATAGATCAGCAGGTCAACTCATTCTGTCACGAAGAGACTGGATCTTACGGTGGTGTGACGGTTTGCGCACCTCAGCGACCCATTGAGCTATACTGGGGTGTGTTCCCGTGACACTTACAAAGTCTCTCATACCAGGTTGGTCAATGGTTAGAGGTCTGACGAACATAGTCTCTTGGCCCTCCAGGTTGGGGGTTGGAGCATGTGGCGACTTGTTCCGTAGAAATGGTAATGCACTTGCATTTCCCGCCAAACACCGCTGCCTTGCGGTTAGGCATTTGAACCAAAGACTTTGGTTGAGGACCCTAATCGTCCTCCTGTCTAGGTGTGGGCAGGCTGGCAGTATCCCAGTCCTCGTACAAAGTACGGCAGTGAAGCAGCGGTGTGGAACACTGATGTTATGCTGTCGATGATGATGATGATGAGGTCAGCTCCTTTCATTTTACCAGCTATAAGCTGCGTACCATAAGCACAACGGTTCCAGTTGCTACAGTCTCGATAACCGGGAAGTTGGAGAGTATGGGAGATACAGCCAAGCCTTGGGGGCAATGGCACGTTTGGTTGGTTCGGGAACAAAGAAAGTACAGATTGAAGGCGAGCATTTCCGGGAGCATTTCGAACCCCGAAGTTTTAGAGACAGGCAGAACAATATCAAGCAGCACATCAGCAACAATGTTGAAGAGGGAAGAGGTCAACCTTGTCTTAAACCTCTGGATGTTGTAAAGTCAGGCGAAAGCGTACCGTATACTAGTAGGCGTCCAAAGGATTTCGCATACAGATTTCTCTTAAGGGACGTAAATTTTGAAGGGATAACTGTAAATCCCAGACACTGCCAAAGTCTTTGACGAGCGACAGAGTCGGAATCAGCTTTCCGATCAAGAAAAGTGACCAACATGGGACGTTTGAAGAAGTGGCGCTGTTCAAGAATTTGTCTCGAGGTAAAGATATGGTCGATGCATCCTCGGCCAGGGCGGAACCGAGTTTGATTCTCACGAGTCTGTCTTTCCCGACAATCCATCAACCTGCGCATAATAAAGCCATAGAGTACCTTAGGTGTGACGGATACCAGGATGATACTACGACGATATTTGCATGACGTTCTTGCGCCCTTTTCGAGGACTTGGATGACTATCGGGTAGCCCCATTCGACTGGTATTCTGTTTTCGCTCCGAATCTTCTGCATTACGGATCTGTGACTGTTTACCAGGATGTCGCAACGTTTGAAGGGCGTGGGGCATAAGCCATCCGCTCCAGGTGCCTTGTCGAGCTTGAGGATTGAAATCTCATGCTGGATTTCGTTTGTTGGACGCGGGGTAGTGTCGATGTTTCATGTAGCCCCGTGTGTTCTCTCAGTTGCGTTGGAGGAGACAGGATGAACTGTTCTTGGAATTGCTCAGCCTTTCGCTCAAGACGGCAATTATTTGAATGAATTACCGTTACGTATTCGCATATTGTTTCGCTGACACTTGTCTTCCTCTTACCGGTTGACCGAGCCAGCTAAAATAGGGCGTGGCTGTTGCCTGCCATTCTTCTCCATTTCCTGTGCTTTCAAGATCCTCCGGCGTTCTTATTCTTCAAGCTGTTGACTAACCGGTGCTTGAGGGATCTGGGTCCGCCGTCATGATCGCTAGTTGCTGGTATGGCCTTTCTGGCAACAATAAGATTTGCTGATTTTGATGATATCCAGTTTTCTTTTATTCGAGTTACATGGCTTGGGCAAACAGTTCTGAAAGCTGAAGGCATTGCTTCTTTACCTCGCCTCCGTTCAACCTCTAAGCTATCTTCGTCATCTACATTACCGTGCGTTTCCAGTAGCTTTCTAATCAGGTTATCTCGATAAGCTTGAGCTACTGAAGCTTATCGAAGTTGACGAATGGAATTACTCTGCTTTGGTGTACTTAATGCTGATGGAAAGCAAAGTACTAGCCACGCTCGCACGATGGCGTGATCAGAGTCAAGTTTTTTTTAACCCCAGAAAGAACGACAATCTTTAATCGACGTTCCTCATTGGTAACTGAAAGCCACATGATCCAATTTAGTCCATGACTGTTTTGTGGTTGGTGCCTCCAAGTAACTCGGTGTGAGCGTTTGTGTTGGAAGTTCGTACTCACCAGAAACAGATGATCTGCGCACAACTAAAGAAGCCGCGCCCCATTATCGGTACGCTGAGCTCTGACTCCAAATCTACAGTCTAACTTTGCTTCATCCGGACTTGGTAGTGCAATTCGGGCAATCATATCACCCGCTATGATTACATTATTCGTCCTTGCTGACCCAAGTAGTCGTGACATCTTGATAAAACCCATCATCCTCGGTATTAGAACTGCTGTCTGGTGGGGCGTATGTTGATACGACAAATAAACACTATTTACTGCATCGACCTGCTTTGATCTAAATTGAGCCAGACAACCGCACAGCGCAAAGACGACTGTGTAAAGTTCTTTTACAAGACTGGCTGGGATCAAACCCACACCCCATGCTTGCAAATGAGCCAGTCGACGTGGCAGATAAATTTGTTTACCTGGGCAGCTGTAGAAGTCCCGGTGGCCTGGCTGGAGATGATATTATTTCTCGAATTACTCACGGTTCATGTGTTGCGCTGGTCGGGACATTTACTCCGCATGCCAGACGACCATCTGCCTCACAGAGCTCTTTTCTCCCAGCCCTGTGCTGAGTGGAAACGACCAAGAGATGGACAGTGTAAGACCTGGCGATGAAGTACGAAAACACTAACCAGTAAACTTAATCGGGTTGGTAACTGCCGCCTCCCTGGATGGGGACCCCGGAACACAAATCACCACCGGTTAAAGATGTTGGCGGAAATGGCCTGATCGCGCAGTCAGTGGCGCTCGTGCATCAAAGCTATCGCCTTCAGTGCGTAGCTACCCAATTTCTGAGCAAACGGAACATGCTTTAACCTCCAAAGCTTGGTTGTATGTTCCACTTTCCCTTTTTCTGTTGATCGAAACTGTAGCAGTTGGAACCAATATACATATGTCACACAGTTTATAGCTGATATTTGAATTAAATTGAATTGAAAAATGACTGTTTACTGGGATCCAGCCTTGGTTCCGAGTGCAACTTCCTTACTGCATATACCACGAGCCATTGCGTCAGGATCACCAGATACCCAAAGAGTGAAATGTGAAACATCTGAACTCGCCCTAATCAGTTCGAGGTGGATAACAAAAGTGGGGTCCTGCTTGCTTGTTTCGGAGACACAACATGCATTGGCAGACAGGGGAAGCAAGGCTTCAGCAAGGGGTGCCAGTTGTCCAATTCGATATAGAGTACGGACATTAAGGACTGCAACGTGGATCAGATCTTTTAAGGTTAGTAGGTGATTGTTTTGGTTTATTTTTCTACGCGAGGGCTTATACATGGAACATTGGCTAGGGGACTTGCAGCTAGGCTGCTTGCACTACATCGTTCGATGGGCGGGGAGGGGATTTACCGGAGGGCTGTTGAGCGAAGGACTTTAGGGGCAAACGATGCTTTCCGGTTGTCCAACCTGAAGAAGAGGATCTGGTTGAGGTACCCCGCCTTGAGCCTTTGACTCAGAAGTCTAACGAGCATGGTAGCTGGAGGATTTAACGTTTTTTCGGGGATTCTTCCCGCAGCCTCTTACTCAAACCTCTAAACCGCGAAACAGCGGTTATGGTTTTCTTTGGGGACTTCCCGAAACCGATGACTTACTAGTCTGACCCGCTCGGCTGCAGTGGCTTGACCTACCAGAGGGCACAGGGAGTAAAACATTACTGTTTTACTCGATGCGGCTGCGCACAGCAGGTGCCCCTTTGGTTTTAAAAGTGTTTCGACCGCATTGAATACTGCCACCACAGTCAAAGCCAACCGTTTGCCGATTGGAGTGTGCGGTGTTTAGGACTGTCAGGGTGCGCCCAGACAAAAGAAGAAGCACATATGCAGAGGGTGACGCATCCCCAAGTTAACCAGCGGTACGACACGTCCGGAAAGTAGGTGAGTTGGCGGCTCTCACCAAACATGGCTTAGTAACACACGACCAGCGTAGTGGGCCTGAGATTGTTCACGACCGGAACACCACCATTGGCTGTACGGAACGAATAAGTGAACGACCATATTTGGCCAATTAGTCATTCTATGTATTTACGCAGACGCTCTGTATGTTTTGTCCTGGCAATACAGACGTGTCTCGAGTTCTCTGTCTTCTCCCTATCGCGTAGTCTGGCAGGCTTAGTGCAGGCGTGACCCATAGACGACCACCTAAGATACAACAAGGACTTACCTTTTTCAACCCATCTTTCCTCTGGAGGAGTCAGTGTCACTGTTTCCATAAATTTGTACATGCTGGTAGCCTGCTTTCACAATCCTATTGCAGATGATAGTACGACTACCTCCAGACCGCTTCGTAACACGATTCCTCGCGGTACAAGGACTCTGCTCTTCGTCGGGCTGCTCCATTTTGGCCTTCCTGGCATGGTTGAATCTTAGGAGCTGAGCTCCAGCCAACACACTGCAGGATCATTGCAGCACAGAAGCCCGACAGCTTGAGGTCGGGGTATAAACCAAAATGTTATTGGTACTGTTGAATGAACTTCATCATCATCATGGTCGACAGAATGACATCAGTGTTCATCACCGATGCTTCGCTACGAGTTAAGGAAGCTATTTTCCCGATTCGAGTCACCGATGGGTCGTACTGATACCCTTCTGGTACTATCTTCATAAAATAGTGGCTAAAGTCAGATTTACTGACCAGAAGTTCCTTGGTTCGAACCCAACCTGTGCATCGTCACTACTCTTGTTTAGCCTTGTGAAAACCGGAAGTATCTTGGCCGCCGCGTTTCCTTCTGCTAGCATGGCAGCTAGCCACCGAAAGTGTTCCAGCTAAACGATTGTAATTCGATTATTATGGCTCTGCCGGGAATGGATAAAACGTCTTGTCTGTCCGTCACAGAGGAAAAGCGCAGTTTCTGCCTCTTGTTCAGATCACTTTTATGGTCACCCGCTTTGAATGTGGGGGCGTAAATGGCCGTTATTTTGTAAGCTGGTTGAACTGGATCATTGTGCGCCGCTTACGACTTGTTCACAAACATTCTCCCGCCCGGCGCCTTCAGAGAAAACTCCGGACTCCACACAGTGGTAAACATCGCATTTGCGGTTTTTTTTCGGAATGCGATTTTTCCAGTTTTCACCTGGGGCGTTCGTTCAGGTGTAGCACCCTTCCGGTGCCTAGCTGCCATGCCACCCGAAGGAAGCACGAGGGCTGTGATACTGCCAGGTTGCCCAAGCCTAGACAGGGGAAGTCGAGTGGCGGAGGTCGGATTCGAACCACGGACCTTCCGGTCAGTAAATTCGCGCTCTAACCACTTGGGCCATCTCGCCCCCCCTGGGGCGTTCTTTACAACAAGATTCCGCCTTTTATATTGGTTACGCAGTAAGTCGAGGTTTTGTGCAAAAGTCGAAACTTCCGGGGGTCTTAAACAGCCCATTTTATACTGCAAACTGTTAAGAGTGAGCGTCATCTCTCTAACCATAGCTTTACGGCGTCCGACTCCCGGGCATCAGCCAGTTTAGTCTTTTGCTCCTGGGACAACGGTCCAAACATGTCGGGCCTTTCAGGTCACCCGGACCCTGTCGATGTCGGACACAGTCGGTCAATGACAATAGAACGCTTCAGCGCACCATAGCCGCTGGCACTTTCTGACCACAGGGGTCGCAGCAGTTAAACACTAGCATGTAATCCAGGTGTTTGGCTGACGGTGGTGATGTTGATCGCTGTAGTCATCCAGTCACCAATTACAAGGGTTTTGAACCGCGGATCTTGGCAGTTACCCTCTCTAGGGTCATGGTACATCAAACGCTTTGTGACTACCTGCTGGTCAGAAATATTGCCATCTGATGACCCAAGTTGGGTCGGACAAAGCGATCACGTAAATCCCACGGTAAGGCTTACTTACAGTTATATACCCGGCCTCCGCACAAACTACTGTGACTCGGTCGTCCTCCTCGGGCAAACTGTGAAAGGAACAACGTGTAGCTTGGCATAGGTGTTTGAATGGGATTACGTGAAGTTTGGGGTTTTTCAGTATAGTCGTCTTTAAAGATGAGGTCCCCCGGTTACCCTCTGTACCTGACTGGAGACGTTGATAGAAATGGTGACTAACCGACATCAGTGGCTTTCGTGCTGTCGGTTTCTTTCCGGCTTGTCTGCCTGAGCGTTTGGAGGCGTAGACACTTCAGAATACCTGTGGTAGGCTAGAAGCGGTTCCTTTCCCCGCCCAGTCTTTCGCTTTTTACTTTGAGGCGTGGAATATAGTTAAATGAAGTTTGTGGTTGTGACAGTGAAACGTCGAGTCAGCATTGATGTTTCTGGTTTTGATGATTCTACACAAATGCCCACAGAATGGGACTCCAACTCCAGGAACTACTGCCTCGTCAACAGCATACGTAACAGCAACGCGTAACCAGTCATCATTGTTCCCCGGAAGGGTTCACTTTCAACAGTGTGTCATCGTACCATATCGTCACCATCGACAGCATGACATCAGTGTTCAACACTGATGCCGTACATCGTACCATATACACCAAATGACTGTTGTGCGAAGCATACAGCACTTCGTGCAGCTTCCCTGCAAGTGTTCATCGCAGCTAACACGATAACCGGAATATGGAAATACAAGGGACTCAACGAGCGATTCTCCGGATCATAAAGTTAATGTCAACAAAAGAGCACCCAATGCTTCTGTCTACACATTCCGATTTTCTCTTCTGCAGTGTTATGTGCCTCTGTTAATCTAAGTAACCATATGTAAAGTGCGTGGAGTAGGATCCTAAGTACAGTTCCGGTCTCGTCCTTTTTAATTGATAAGTGGTATTTTATTTTGCCTATCATCTTTAATTCGGTATAAACCTGAGCAGACGCAGTGCCCTACATCTGGACTAGTGTGCATGCCATTTTGTCCACTTACATTCATTTGTGAGGCACAGGAATGAAGTAATTGCGCATTCCGCCGCGGCTGCACTCGGTATCTTATTCATTCCAACGTCATGCAGGATTACCCGGTATATTTTGGTTCCCCTAGGTCGACCGGGGTTGGATCCTTTGTACACCTTTCAGTTCATATGATTTTTAATGCAGTGTGCAGAAATTGTAGTCGAATATCCCGGTTTACGCAAGGGCCAAACTGTGGATGAAGTGTAAGGTCTTAAATCTTGGAATACTTTGGAACTCCCGATCCATAGGATAGTTTGAACTAAGGGAAAGGGATGTGTACTATTGACTAACCAATTTTGTTTCTACACAATGAGTTCCAACCTCCATATTAGGTTTTTGTTGGTTCTTTCTTCGTAGAGTCCACCTTTGTTCGGTCACTTGAAGTTGTTTGTTTAGAGGTGTCATGTTTAGAGGTGTCATGCTGTCGATGATGATGATGATGATGATGAGGTGAACAGCTGTATTTGAAGTCATGGTAGCTGTATTCAAGTCATTAACTGTTCACTTCATTCGCCCACGCAGCAATGTCACAAAGCCAAACAGTGACCATGTCCCAAGTGGCTAGCACGTATGAGATCCCCACGCGACTCCGAACTCTACACAATCTTGTAATTCAATACGCGAGCGAAGGTCGCTATGAAGTCGCTGTTCCACTGTGCAAACAAGCTCTGGAGGATCTGGAGAGATCGAGCGGTCGGGATCATCCTGATGTTGCCACAATGCTGAACATTCTAGCCCTGGTCTATCGGTAAGGACTTCGTTTTTCCACCAAAACAACTTCGTTTCAGGGATCAACAAAAATATCGGGAAGCAGCTACTCTACTAAACGATGCCTTAACCATTCGAGAGAAGACTTTGGGCCCGAACCATCCAGCTGTTTGTTTCCAGTCCAAATTTTTTTTAACCTTTTCGTTACTAGGTAGCCGCTACCCTCAATAACCTGGCCGTTCTCTATGGGAAACGAGGCAAGTACAAGGAAGCTGAGCCTCTGTGCAAACGTGCCCTTCTCATTCGAGAGGCCGTAAGTTTCAACTTTTTTTCGGGCGCGGATCTAGGTTTGTCCAATTCTCCCTCCTCCAAACATGTGTGTGCGTGTGTGAGTGAGGCAAAAGTGTGAAAAACAGCCGCCGTTGTTGTCCGCTACTGTCCAAACCCATAGGGACCTCACGGGCTTCGACATTCGCCCCAGTGTCGGATTGTCCGTCTTTTTACCGCCAGCTATTGTCATGAGACGCCCCTATTTGTTACATTGATGATTCGGATTAGCTGGATAGTATGGAGCGCATTTATTTCTTGGATCTGCCCATTCTAGGCTGTATTCAAGGGATTGAATGAGACCAGACTACTTAGAACCAGTGATGCAACCAAACACACATCCATCCTCTACAGAACAAACTAAACCTAGCTACCCAGAAGCTTCTAGGTTAACAGCGTAAATACATCCAAACTGTTAACCTCAATGCATGAGTTCCTCTTCTGCTCTTATCAATGGTAAGTCCACTACCACTCCTGGATTCATGCGCCAATTGTGGCTAATTTGTGGCTATCCACCCCTGTCATCTCAGTTGATCGGCGAACGAAGCTATGGTAACTATAACCTCTGTACGGCATGTGCGCGGTTCATAACTGATGATGATAATGATGGGGTACTTCTAGCATGAGCTATTGGCACGGCTTACCATGTTCATAATTGGACAGGACAAGCCCCACTAACAAGTTGTAGCTCACGTCCTTTTGGTCCATTACATCATCCTAAGAGTCGACCAAAATTCATCAATACTACATGCTGACACTTAGCTGCCATGGCTTCATCACAAAAACCAAAGACATCGGTCGTTCGGTTGTGAGCAACCTGTTAGAGGATGGCTTCCCCCCGTCATCTGACTCTGATCACCGTCCCATTGTTTGCACTGCCTTAGGCAAGGCGCACTTTGGGTTGTTGGGGTGGGTACCAAAGTAGTGGTCGTTCCGTCGTCGCGTAGGCATTGTCGGCATCTAGTGAAGTAGTTTCGTAGGGAATGCTTCGCTCTGGGTTTGCAGTTGCTTGGATTTGATGAGTAACGGATACCCGTCCACCGATGTCCCGAGTTTCTCTACAACATTCGCTTCTCTGTTCTCTCCTTTACAAATTCTTCACAGGTATTGGGCCAGGACCATCCAGATGTGGCGAAACAACTAAATAACCTGGCACTGTTGTGCCAGAATCAAGGCAAATACGAGGAGGCAAGTCAATGCATGCTTCTGTTTCATTAAGAGCAGTTACAGGACTCTTTGTTTTCATTATCTGCTCTGCTAACAAATTGAACTGACCAGTACGCCCATTTTTCCTCATGCGCGTTTCGTTACACCTGAATTTCAGCGTGTCTCAGTCAGTGTTGCAACAGCAGTATTAGCTAATAATAGAGACTTAACAACAAGAATGCAGTGTTTTCACTGTTCACGAATCTGTTCCGATTGACAGGCACAACTATTAGCATACTGCGCGACTCCCGTTGCTTCTGTTTATCTCATATAATAGGACTCAATCGGTTCCAACTGAAGCCTGCTTACGTTAGTGATTATTCCATATGATACATCCACTTAACTGTCGTAGCATATCAGCTGACGCATGTTACTTTATGGGGTCGGTGTTGTTAGCTCTTGTAGTAAAGCGGAATTTCGCTAGTTCACGGGTCGACAACAGGGGACGATTGTGTAATCTACAATTAGTGGAACTCCTTTACTAGGCACTACTCATTCATCAGATTCAACGCTCAGAGGTTTGTCGTTAGTTTAGTGCCGAACTTCCACCGTAGCCACGACGTCAACACTGGACAAAGTACGCTAGATCGAAATAGGCGGTAGGGTCACCAGGTCACTGTCGGTTATCCGTGTCTTTATCTAAGACCCCATCTTAGATGGTAAGTTGTAGCACTCTTGCTGTCCTACCTGCGTTTAGTTAAGACTCTAGAAGAAGAAAATGGAGGTTGTGAAATATAATAGCTTGCAAATTACATTGCTGCTAACGAGAGACTCGACTGAATTTCTCATTTATGATATTCTTTAAGTGTATAATCTGAACACATCACGTGATCTTGTGTCGACTGGGTTCTCGAGTAACGACATCTCCAATGGAAGTTCCACTCTTCCTGCAAATTATTCTTGCTGAACTATTTGTACGTGATCAAACTGCTTATCAGCCGTTCTTGTCCAGATGGTTGAGCCGGAAGACGGTGGGTTTGAAACTCTACGGAATTTTGTGAGATGCGCACTGCCTATGCCTCTCAGCTTTTCGGCATAGATTGGCCTCACTTACAAGACAGAAGCTCTATTGGAAATTTCCAGATCTTTTCACGCTACCAAGAGTATTACGTCAAACTGGAAAATTCATTCTGAGATAGCTTAGTCCAGTTTCCCGTGCTTTGTTTAGAGAACCTTGATTGTTTGATGTAGTTGTCGGTAACGGGTGTTGTGCACTTGCATCGTAGTCACATCGGGTGTAGGCCAATAGTCTCTTGAAGTGGCTCGTCACTTGTGAGTCTTCAATGTGAGCTTTGTCGTGAACTGGCTGAAAACCCGATGGATCGGTTAGGCTGGCAGAGAGGAGAGTGATTTAGTAGAATACGTTGGGGTTAATTTGGTCTATTCCGTATGGCCAAATTCCTCGATAATTGCACGAAATTTGAGTTTCCGTGTGTTTTTATTGAGAACAGCCCACTTAACTTTGCTGACCGTACCGGCACTCGTTGGAGGCTGGTTTGAAGTTTTCAACTAGTTTAACGGACAGTGTTTTTTTCTGACTGGGGACAGTACAACTGGATATGTCATTTTCGAAAGCATGCTCGGGTTGCTAAGGCTTTCAAGTAGTGTCCATCAATTAGCGGATATTCTACCCCATTTCCATAATCAGATCATGGCTGTTGTCCCAAATGAGTTCGCGGTACCCGTATCCATATTTATAGCGTATAACAACCGCCTCAGACGATTCTTCCAAGGTGATGGAGGTTGTCTTGTTTACATATCCCCACCTGGTTAGGTTGTGCATTGAGAACGATTACGAATATGCTTGTCCATTGCGAGAGGACTCAAACTCCAGCTGACTGCTGTGACAGTATTTGTCATCACCGTGTTTCTAATACTCTGCCTATGGCGTGCTACGAATTGGGTTGTTTACTGACATACAGTGAATGTTATGTGCCAACCATGTTTCTGGAGGCACAAATAAATAAACAAGTTCCTCGTCTTCTTTGCTGGATACGCTATTTCACTGACCACGTCTCACTTCTCGACGTTCCACTTTTACACAAACGTAAATGCCGATTAGCAGCTTTACGAGTCTCCTGGGGTCACCTGATTAGATTTTCGTTGACTGACTGAAGCAGTATCTTTAGCCCTTTGAAGGAGAGGAACAGTGCATCTAAGTGGGTAGGACGAAACGATCTTCACTGTCCTGGCTACTGTGTAAGTGCCTTGTGGAGCGTAGTTTGTCTTATAGTTTCACGTGAGTAACTAGAATACAACCACCGGTCGGGTTGTTTGCGCAACACAGTTCTAGGTCTACCGATATGCTGGTAATAGCATCACAAGGTGACCATACCTCATTTGGCTTTCACCAACCAACTGGTACGATCAATGACATCATAGCTTCTCGTTCACAATTTCACCCGAATTTTGTAAACCATAAGGGACAGCGTGAGTGATTGTTGGAGTAATCAAGTAAGCCTCGATTTTCCACTACCAAGGCTTGGGGTCGACAGTAATGACTAAAGTAACCGCTGCAGAGTACTAGTCCTTGGACACGATTTTTTTGCCGTAGTACTTCTAGTTGCCTGTTAGCTGTGCAGGCAACTTCCATCACTTGTGTACATGGAATTTGCCGAACAATTGAGTGTCTCTTCTGCAACCTGTCTCGTATGTGAGTACGGTTCCTTCAGGTTTTTCAGTTTTTTATTTCAGAACTCATTCTATTCGGAATACGACCGACAAAGTTCCACATTGTTTATTTTAATTATCTCGGAATACAACATACCGTCACGACGAGTTGGCCTCCCCGCGAAATAAGGGAGTCCTAAAGTGTAATAGTCATGGTCTTTTCTACCAGGTGGTTAGTCCGTGGTTAGATTTTTGATTGACAGTCCCTTCGGCCCTCCACATCTGAGGTTGAAACATGTGACAACTTTTCTTCAGAAGTTGAACTACCGTAGTAGTCTTATGCCAGCCGCAGTTGTCTCGTAGCAGACTTTTGATGCAGAGGCTTTGGTCAAAGGAGATAATTGCCCTCCTGTCCATACTGCGAGGCGAGATGGCCCAAGTGGTTAGAGCGCGAATTTACTGACCGGAAGATCCGTGGTTCGAACCCGACCTCTGCCTCTCGACTTCCTCTGTCTAGGCTTGGGCAACCTGGCAGTATCTCAGTCCTCGTGCAACCTTTGGGTGGCATGGCAGCTAAGCACTCGAAGGGTGCTACAGCTGGACGCTTTCTTTCTTCTTTCTGTCCATACTGCCTTGGCAGTAGCTGAGCCCACGTACGCAGATAATCGCACACCACTTCGGTCGTCTAACGGTACTTTCATCTGGATCGCCTTGCTTGATGCTGGCATACAAAGTCCTTTTGGACCACCCTCGTTACACGCAGTCCTGTGTGAGATCCATCGTGGAGCCACACTGGGATATTGATTCCTTTTTGTGCCCCTTTTTTTTACCGACTAGCTTTGAATGTTTCCTGGATATCTACGATTTGTATTCTCGCCAATTTATTTTACTCCAGCATATTGTCGGCATATACCTAATGTCCGGGAACATGGTTGACACTTCTAGCGGTCATTCCTCTTGTTTTTCGATGTTAACCCAGTTGTATTAAGTAGTCACCAAGTATCACGGTCATTTTATCATCGCAGCTCTGACTTGCTAACATGTGTACATCAATACACAGGTTTATGAATACATAAAGCGTGCGGAGGCAATCTATACTACGGTTTATGGGCCTTGTAGCTCAAGCGTTTTGAAGGCGCTCAACACTTTGGTGAGCAAAAATCAGGTCACCTAATCGGAAGTAGTTGTGGTGGGGATTCGGTCCGCATGTGAGCTGTTCTCCCCCCCAACTGTTTCTGATACGCATGATGTTTCGTTGTCATATAACGGTCATGCATCGGGTTTCATTTCCAGCGGCTTCATATGTCATGCGCTTTCGAGTTTTCGGTGACCTGTTTCATCTCGCTTGTTTGTCTATCTATCTGTATGTATTTCTGTCTACCCCCTGCATGCATGCCTCTCATTCATCTACGTATCGCGATGATACTGCTAGGTTGAGCTATACTATCAACGTGCACTGGAAATCTACGTTAACACTCTGGGACCCGATGATCCAAATGTCGTCAAAACAAAAAACAATTTGGTGGGTGGCTTATTGTGTTCTGTCCCTGCTTCCATTCTCCCACAGTTTGATGCATCTGTTACCGTTTTTGAGCATGGTATTATGACATGTTCTAGCATGCCTCAAAAAGTTATACTATTTTGGGTCACCGCAGTTTTTGCCATGTTTTGTTTGCCCAGAGTTTCCTCGTTACTAACGATATGCGCTATGGTGTTTGGTCGCGATCAAGCTAGAGTTCTTTATCCTCGTTTCATCTCCATTTTCTATCACATATATACACCACATCTACTGCAGGATCGTGTAACACGGGAACAGCAATGATTGGCATGTACGACTAGGCCTTTGTTATCTTTTGTTTTAAAACATCCGCATATACTTGCCAACAACATCTTATCCTTTTTCCACGATGCATGTAGTTTTTTTGGCCATACTTGTTATTCGTTTTTTTTTTGATGTCTGTGCGCTTTTCATGTGTTGTGTAGTTGTCTTTCCCTGTTTTAGGCATCTGCTTATCTCAAGCAATGCAAGTACGCAGAAGCAGAAGAACTGTACAAACAAGTGCTGACCCGCGCTCATGAAAAGGAATTCGGTGAAGTCTCCACAACTAACAAGCCTATTTGGATGCTAGCCGAAGACCGTCAATCGGGTTTGGTGACGGATACAGATGTGGCGCAATCCCTGGCCGCACGGTTATCCCGACAAGAAAGGTAAGCTACACTTTTATGGCTACCACGACGATTTATTCTCGGGAACTATTCAAATCACTCAACCTCTGGCTATTTTTCCCTTGTTCACTAGTTCCTTGGTAGAGTGGAAAGTTTGTATTCCCGTGTTCTTGACAATTTATTGTCTATATTAATGTCCCGCCACACCTTACCGTGGCGTGACGCTTTGTGTGCCTCCGTGATTCGTTGAGCTATACTGGGTGGTGTCCGTGCGGTACCCATAAAGCATTCCGTACCAGATTGGCCAATGATTAAGGGTCCGACCACCATAGTCTCCTAGCTCTCCAGGTTGGGAGTTGGAAATGGTTTGGCGACTTGTTCAATAAAGATCCTAGTGCGCTTGCATTTCCCGCCAAACATCACTGCTTTGTGGTCAGGTTTTTGAAATAAAGGCTCTGGTGGAAAACCCTAATCGTTCCCCAGTCTAGGCACGAGTGCCCTGGTAGTATCCCAACCCACGTACAACCATGACACTCACAACTATTTTATGTCAGAAATACGACCTTATGGTGAAAAAGTCACTCATAGCGGCAACTTTTTAAAACCAGTTGTTGGAATGAGTGTTACATCAACACCATTTTGAGTGTTCTCCTATTTAGATTCCTCCAAATTTTGTAGCTGGTTGGGTTGGTTTGCTGTTCAAATCGTGTGTTAAGGTGATCTTAAAACTGAACGTTTTTGGGCATCTACGATTGCCAGCCCTCCGGAGAACGTACCATCAACAGCCTCTTGCTATCTGAAGTCCACATTTCTACAATTTAACACACCAACCGGTTCTAATGAAATGCTATATTTTTGGCATCGCAAATGTCTGAACTCAAAATGACACGGCCAAGGTACTTCCCTTCTATTCGATAGTTTTCTATGAGGACCCACTGTGATTGCCTTCGAAACGGAGCTGCTTGTATCCTCGAGTCTCTCAACAACACATTTGAGTGCTCTGTTTTCCACACTTTTGTATCTGACAGGACGATCGGTATATATTCTTCTCCATCAAGGGGAAGTAGAAAACCATCACTCTGCCATTCAACTGGTATTTAGGAGAGTAGTAGAGCTCGGATTCGCAGTAACAGTCAAAGCATGTATTCCAACGATAGAGCTGTTATAAGTTCTCTCTAGTTCCGAGCATAAGGAATTACACGTATTATTCACCCTTGATATGCAAATAAAGGCGAGTTTGATATTTCTACGGGATTCCAACACACATATCCAGCCGTTTAGCCTATGCGACACTCCCTGGAAGTCTTTTGAGACCGAGTTACTTTTAGATTGCTTGCCTTAGACACGCTTCAGTCGATCGTTCCTAACCAGGTACTGGACGCCTTTTGGTTATGCCGCTTGACTGCACCCTGTCACTAGCTATCAACTGGATGGGGGGTAAATCACGACATTAGCGAGCTGAAACAAGCCGTTGGTCTGACTAACTTTTCAACTGTTCGACGGGATAAGTCGACAGAATGAAATTTTGGGCGAACGATCGCGGGCTGAATACAATGCCCTGGAGATTGTTAGTACATATTTGGGCTTCTTAACTTTCATCGGCTGATTTGGGTGACATCGTTGCCTGATGTATCTAGTTAATTGAATAGAATTAGTGAATTCGTTTATCGTGCTGGGAAAAACAGCTGGATAAGTTGTACCTTGAAAAAAATCGTTTAGCTTTGGACCCTTTCGGTGCCTAACTGCCATGCCACCCAAAGGTTGCACGAGGGCTGAGATACTGCCAGGTTGCCCAAGTCTAGACAGAGGAAGTCGAGAGGCAGAGGTCAGGTTCGAACTATGGATCTTCCGGTCAGTAAATTCGCGCTCTAACCAATTGGGCCATCTGCCCCCCCCCCAAATAGTACCTTTACACAGTGTCTTTTAGGTTTTTTGGAATAACGTGAGCTCGAGAGGGAAATCAGATGTGGGAACGAGATCACATTGCCAGAACGCTCGATTGAGGTAGATGACGGACGCATTTTAATGTATTCCCCAGAACAGGTCGTGTAGCTTGACGACACAGATGTTCGCCTAGCTAGCCAATGGAAACGACCAGATATGTGTTCAAATCTCCATAGGAACGTTCAACCCTTTTCTATGTGGTGAATTGCACGCAGTTGAAAGAATATAATTCAGACGGTCAATACGGGAGTGTGAGTCGTCTGAGAACCACACGATAGTCAATAAAACATCGAGTGACGTCCACAAGCAAATGTATCCGCATGCGGCGGCCTTATGGCCAAGATTCTTCGCCCTTGTTCGGGGTTCGGATGGGAAACAAGTAGTTCTTTTGCACTTTGTGGGTCGATCATATTATCCTGATTTGCCACTACTGGCATGTCGTGGTGGCCACTGCTAGATGAAATATATTTTTCTGTTTTGGAAAGCGCAGCGCCTAGCCGTACCCAAAAGGGTAGACGACCAACAGGTTTCAAACACCTCAACAGCAACCAAACCGACATCATTGTGATAATTACCACCGACGACAGTGGTTTCCAGCTAGAAGTTTGTGCCTTTCAAAGAGAACGATTTCAACTGATCCCGAAACTGTTCGCCCAATTTGGTAAGGGTAACCTCAACAGCAACCTCAACAGTACTCGCACTGAGACCTCGTTCTACCGTAGGTTGCCTCATCATGTGATCAACACTCTGTCTTTTTGCATCGGTTGCCCTGGTTTTCATCTTGTGCTCCCCTTATCCCTTCATTTTTACTCCTCCCAGTCAAACTGTAGTTACAACTCTCCGAAACCTTGCCGCTCTTTACCGAAGACAGGGCAAGTTCGAAGCCGCAGACGTGGTTGACGAATGTGCTGGTCGGACTTCGAAAGCACCAACATCTGCACCGGTCAGTGATTTCCTCCTCATCTAGCGAACCCCTTTTTTTAGTCTTCGTGTTTTCCTTCGGCACCGTTTCTCTCTTGTGGCAACTGCTGTCTGATCAGAATTTGGCCTCCTTTCTGGTTACTTCTGCTAGCTAATGTATGTGGGCTTCAGGGCACTTTTGGTGTCATCACGCAACAAGCCGGTTCTCCAATGAACCGTTCAAAGTGTGCTGACTAATCCATATGCTTTCCCATCCTTAGATGGTCATTCCTCTAGGATATTCTCTTTTGTTTGGTCCGTTGTCTCGTTACCCACAGCACAATGGAAAACGCTGTGACAGTTTCGTTTGTAGTCATGCTTTTGTGTGTCGCCTGCATAAACTTGCAATCCTATCGTTGTTTCTGTTGTATCAGTAAAAGTGGGACAGCAATAACGTTCGATCGATTTTCGCGTGATATCTCTGTTCCCCTTATTGATCGATCTACCGGTTTTTTTTGTTGGAAACCAGATCGTCTCTCGCTCAGTGTTTGTTATGCGAACTGACGATTTAGGCTTTTCCTATCCTTATTGTCCGGTTCCTAAAATTACCAGGGGAACTTGCGCACGATAGAATGCTTGGACAAGCACGACCGCTGAAATGATGAGACTGTTTTTAGTGTGTAGTATCTTTTCTAGAAGAGTTTTTTAGGTATTCAACCCAAATGTCTTGAATACGACCTTAGTTCGCTGAATGAAGTCCCGACCGAAGTTCGCATTTGAGTTTGTGAGCTAAAGTATGTACTTTGCAAAGGGATATTGGCCAACCTGTTTTTGGTATTTTTTTGTTGATCAAGTGAGTACCTACCATCTGCATAACTAATAGCCGTATTCACCGTCGGTCTCACCATTCTGTATTCATCCGTTATTTCTTTACACCTAAATAATCGTTCAGCCCGATGCCTAGCTGCCATGCCACCCGAAGGTTACACGAGGGCTGGGATACTGCCAGGTTGCCCAAGCCTAGACAGGGGAAGTCGAGAGGCAGAGGTCGGGTTCGAACCATCTCGTTACACCTATCCTTGTTATCTTCAGGATGGGAGGTGATTTTCTTTTGAAAACGGTAAAGGTGTGGAAATCCAATTACCTTTTCCATCTCACTACCCAATCCTTTTATTTGGCTTGAGGTGGCTCCTCAGTCTCTCGTCTGGTTTGGGAGAACACCCAATGAAACCAACTTGCCTCGGTACAATTCCATGGCGTCGGTGATATCATGGGGAATAAGGTCCTTGTATTTCACTCTGTAAAAGACACTTGGTTAGTTTCTGCCAGCTATCTGAGTCCGAACGGTTTTTGGTTCGTGTTCGCGCTCGGTCCTTATGATCAAAAAGCTCCTGTCGATCCCACTTATGTGTACGTTTGTTCGTTTCGGTTCTCTAATCTCAACGCTGTTGTGGACTTGAGGGCACTTGTTCACCACGTTAATGATGTCCGGCTGTTACAGGCTAACAAACAAACAGCTAAGCTAGGGTTCAGCTGTTGCACCCTTACCCTCGGGGTCAGTTGTCATATGAGCACCTCCAAATTCTTGACAACTAATGGACCTACTCACTGTTTCAAGCATTTAGGGCTGTTAATGATGCACCAACCTTCCACCGGGAAACTCTGGTTGCCGTTAGGAGAACTGGACTCAATAGTAATTGGGATAATGATAATGATAATGCTACTCACACAAGAGTAACCCAAGTATCCTCATATGCAAGGTATCTCTCCACAAGGAGTCCCACATAGACTGACTTTACTGTGTTCTTGTCAACGTCAGTCCTATCCCAGGTCTGTGACGTTCAACACAACTGACTGTCAGCCCACCATCTTTGACTCAGTTTCCTGAATGGGTTTAGCCACAGCCATTTACACCCTGTTGTTGTTTGTCTGTTCGTCTGATCTAGAGCAGGCAAAGCGATGGCGACTGAAGTTACTTTAGTTGGGACCTTGATAGTAAACCAAACTGAAATGAAACGTGAGTTAGGCAACCAGTGCAACAACATGGTCTGGGTGAGCTTATAAGCCTGGCGTGTGCTTGACGTCCGTTCGTCTTTGTCAAGGAAACCCTATCGTCTCGGTTCAAGTCACAGCTGAGCATCAGGTGATGTGAAACTTCAACCTCTCTTGCTTGAGTACCACGGCAGTATCCGCCAAACAAACTGACACGTCACCTGTGCTAACCGCTTCACAGAGCTTCCTGTTTTCTGCATGTAATCGTCTCTTGCATATATGGTCTGCGTCACCTGAAGAGCATTAGCTGAAGCTCTGTGTGCTCGTCTTTCTCCCCAGAACCTTCCACAAGCGTTAAATGGATCTAGATCGACGCAGAATCCTCGTTGGTTCCCCCCCTGTACAACGGGTAGACGAGGTGTTGCCGTACGTCCCGGTTATTCGCATTATGATGCCAGACTGGCTATTCGTGTTCCACGCGGCCAATACAGTCTCACAAACGAACACCAGAACGGCTCGGATACTTTTGATCAAGTATCCCGTGCGTTTGACCCCAGGTATATCACGCACAGTCTCCTCATGCTTTCCAGTTTTCTCTCCACCGCTTGGGGCGTTCCTACAATTGATTCAACAGGCATTAGGGACTTGATGGGACATGCGCTGTCCAACGCTGCTTCCATTTGACGACCGACCCCCGCTTGCTTGATTGTCTGCTTTTTTCCCGGACCGGTGTATGTAGCGGTATCAGTGGCCCTTTCCCAGTATATCGGTTGGCATTCCGGTCGCGTCCCTGTTTGTCAGGAGCTCGTTTTGTGGGTCTCCACCTGGTAATTCTGGTGCTTTGCTTTGCGCACTTGGCTGATACTTGGCTGCTACTGATCAATGCACTCCATTCGATTCGATCGTTTGGGGGCACCCGTGCCTCACTTACTCTGCAACCTAGTTTAGTGTTCCTAACCTGAAAACGCGTTTCCCATCCATCCTTCCCCACAGCCTTCGTCCGTCCTCTGCCAGTTTTTATTCTGTTTGTATTTATACTTCATTTCAGCATGAAAAGGGCCAGTTCAATGTCAACCCTCCCAGGAAGTATTAGATTACCATTGTCCAACCAGGTACGCTTTATTGGAATATTATGCTAATTTATTGGCTTTGTGTTGTGTTTCTTGCCCAGTAGCGGCTGCTTTCCATGTATCTCTGCTCGATGAATCACATTTAGGTTTTTCTGGGGCGTATGGCTCCGGTAATAATGTACGTATAATTTTTAAACATGGGTTTCCCCCGCAAATAAATCCGATCGGGGATGAGAAACAGCATCCTTGCTTGGAATGTGTATCAGTGCATCTGACGAATCTCTAGAGATTTCCGGACCCACAGTTCCTCACCTCATCTTACAGCACCACTCAGATGTACATCACGTGACTTGATTGGTCTGCATCGGGAGACGTATATGGTTGTTTTATAAGTAGTGTGTTCAATGAGGAAAACATCTCACCAAGCAAGCATAAAGCAACTACATTGTTCAACAACTACCCCTGGTTAAGGGTGAGAGTATTCAACTCCCATCCGAAAAGTTGTGCATTAGAATCCCCATCGGATGTACACTGCACACAGCCATTGGGACTTTAGTGCCACCCAATTTAACGACGCTATCAGAGTTCACTCCTAACTGTGTATCTGTACAGCCCCATAGGATGAATTCCGAAATTGGAGCGTTTTTGTTCGAGTATCTCCGTTTTTCGAAAGAACGGAGTTCACTTTTGCCCATTATCCTACACACCAAAAATTCTAGTAGCCATTAGAATCCCTTTACTCTTTCCGCCCTTCTTCGTTCCTCTCTTGCTATGAACTTATCGGCACTGATTTGGTTTGCAACTCTCCGCCTCCATTTCAGGATCTGGTTCGGTTCTTTCGTGGCCCTCCCCCTTCCCACACTCGCTCCGGAATGTTCGATTCTGCCTGGTCAACACGTCCCAACCCTCTGAATGGCCGTCTGCTCAGCTCGGAAAATCTTCACCGGTAATTGCTGCAATACTTGATGCATCCGTTTCAATTTTTCGACTTCTCGTGGTTGGTCATCTGCCCAATTGCATTGTCGCACATTTTGCCGCTTCCGCCACAATCTCAAGCATAGGCGATTCTCATTTCCAAATCCGTTCGAAAGCACGTCCCAATTTTCATAGGTCGTTTTACGGAGAAACCCGTTGATGTGGATGCTGTTGCTGTTTTTTTTTTCAAAAAAAAAAAATTCATCAGCATTCATCCTCTATTGGCTGTGAGGAGTCCTCTCTCTTTGGGCGTGTCAGATTGGTTGTGGTGTTGCAGCTCCATATCTTATTCTGGTACAACCTCAGATTTTGCGGACCTCTTTCGAGGCACGCACCTTTACCCCAGTTGGTCCATCTCTCTCTCTCTCTCTCTCTCTCGCACACACAAACACAGCAGTACTATCGCCATCGTTTATGTTTTCGTTCTGAAGTCTGTTCCATATGTATCATCCGCTTTTGTTCATCTGGATGAACCTAATAGCCCATTTCTCTCACCGTATTTTCTGTTTTCCCCTCATGACCCACTGTCCTGCCTTTCTGACATTCCACGTGAGTCGAACTGGTTGGGACTTGGCAGTACTACGTGCTGCTGTTTCTTTCAATCCACTTGTATCGTCCAGCCAATCTGAAAAGTTAGGTGGAGGAATAACTTCATTTCGCTTATTTCCGTCGGACATCACCATATCGTGAAGATTCGCCCTAATGTGTCCCTCGTTTATCCTTTCGACTCGTGGCTGGATGTTGTTGCCTCCCGGTTTGTTTTATTCTCCGCTCCAGTCTATGATGCTGCTTTCCCATTCGGCGTCGAATTTTCTTTTCTGTCTCTAGTTTCCTGTGTTTTCATCTTTTGTTCTCCTTGGGGTGCGACTTGTTGCAATGTATACGATATTACCAAACACCGCATCATTGCTCTTAAAGTACGATTTATCTTGTTTTTTTTTCGTTGTACCACCAGTTGGGATGTGGAATTTCCTTAGCTACTCGCAGCAATGTTCAGCGCATCAATTCGGAAAGGGAAATCCGGTCGTACTTCAATGGTGCTGGTAATGAGGTTGTGTGGTGTTTCGAGTCTACGTCGGTACATTTCCCGATCCGTTTGAAATGGCCGCCTAAATCTTTGGAATTACAGCAAACATTTTCCAGCCGATCATAAATTCCACAACTCTCTTGAAATACTGTTAGAGAACTCCAGTTGAGTCACAGTCGACTGTCTACTATCAGTGGAAACGCTGACAATGGTATGTTGAGAAGAAATGCTGTCAGCCATGTTCATCTCAATCTAGCCTCGGATAACTCGTCTTCCTCAAGATGTCTAACCATTTTTGGAAGTTAATGAGTGTGATTACGCAGGGTGTCTTCATTTGAGCCCTTGTCAAGTAAACGAAACTTCAGTTGATCGGACGATTGCTATTGGTGTGAGTAGAAAGCTGCCAGCGGTACTCGACCTGAACGGATTTAAACTTTGGGCTTAAGCCTCTTTTTTGCTTGAGATATTGACCCAGCACAGTACTCCGTGAACACACCGTCTCACATCACTTCTTCTTACATCTGAGTGTGCGTTGTCATGCAGGCATGAAAGCAGCGAGCACGTTCCCTAGCATGAACGCACCCCTCGGTTGAGAATGATGTGATGCTTATTTAACGAGGTATTAGCTAAAGTAGCAGACTCTTTCTCTAGCTTTCGTAGCTGAACAGCATCCGTGGGTGGCTTTCACAAACAGCTCCCAGAAACTGACGTGCATCCTGGCCGACAGAACACGCTCCAGTCTCAGTACACACNTTTCTCTAGCCTTCGGAGCTGACCCGCATCCGTGGGTGGCTTTCACAAACAGCTCCCAGAAACTGACGTGCATCCTGGCCGACAGAACACGCTCCAGTCTCAGTACACACTACGCGCAGGCGAACTGGTCCAACGGGCCGTGAACCCCAGCGCAGTTCGTGGCTTAGACGGTAAGTGTTATGTAATAGTGATAGTGCGTATAAATGTGTAGGCTTCTAAAATATGGTACGTCTACCCTTTCTGACCACTTTTAAGGTTTCCTGCCAACAACTGGCCAGAACATTGCTTTAAAGAAACACTCCGGAGGAGTTACAAACCAAACTGTGGACATCATTGCCCGTCTCCAGTGTATGCAGCCACTGATGGAACAGAACGCATGCACCATCGCCCTTAGCCGTTAGAACTGGGATGCATGTTCCATCGCTAGGCAGCAAGATATCTACGGGTGCGAGTGGAAGAACATGGACGCTGCTTACCGGATGTTGCTTACCATTCATCGATTCAGTTCAACTGCACAACTCAGATTGGTATCCTGCTATTGTAGCTCTTCTCAGTAGGGAGTGTCCGCTTGAAGACCGCATTACCATTTTGCGACATATAAAGATCCATCCGCACTACCGAACCGCTCAGTCAATCTCACTCGACTACACACATCTGGTAACTGGTTGATTGCCTGAAAGATACCTTGCCTTCCACCATTCGCCTTTCAAGGCCAGATCTTCGATGTTACCCGCAGCTATCCCGCTTCAGGTATCAGGGTCCTTCAGATTCTAAAATATCCACATTAGTTCTAGAGCCTACTCCAGACTTGCTCCCTTCATTTCGGAAATTATTTAGTTTGACTAGTTCAGTGTTTGCTTTCCGGGAGAGGAAAATGTTGCAACATGAACAGATTTCTACACCCCGGTTTGTGATTTCAATTTAGTGGAATTTGTTGTATTGTTTCGTGATAAGCTCAGCTGGTGTGGACTTCGCTTACTTTCCACAGAACACAATTTGCTTGTTGCAGGCGAACCAATAAACTCAGACACCTTTGTAATTTTCAACCTTTGTAATTCCAACTCGTTTACCTCATACATGGCTTATGAATTGAAATCGATTCCTGGAATTCACTTTTCTGTGCATCCAAATAGCTGACTGTCACAAGATGCTTACTGAACCCCAGAAAATCGTGGAACATGATGTACTCGCCAAAGATTTCTCTCCTCATCAGTCAGTGGTAAGTGTTCCCTTACACCTCATTTCTCAAGCACAAACATACACATTTGAGGTCTCCGCAAAGGGCGTACACAAACAGAGCGCATGGTCTTCACTTTTATGCAAATATGCATTTCCCATCATAAGCCCAACTTGGCTTGACGCACGTACAATCACTGCTGCACCAGACTGGACTGAATAAGACTCGAAAAACAAGCCGTTTGGTGGGATGTGTTGGTGTAAAGACATACTCTATATGTGTCAAGTAGTTGGACTCTAACTGCCTCAGTTGTTGGTTGAGTTTGTGGGCTGGCGCGCTGAGAAGCGACTAAAGGAAGTGGACCGGCCAGAGTAAGACTTCCACAAACAGCTAACGCAGTTGCGGTCCAGTGACCTGACACCGCTGTGTATTCAGTAAGCTCCACAAAACAGAGGCCTGTCTTGGCCCCTGGTAAATTACTGAGAATGACAATGTGCTGGCGATTAGAATGCACGGTTAGCTAGAAAGCCACCGCTCGGCAAAAATACCACACAGAAAAGCGGTCCGAAGTTCCATTCCATTCTACCTACTTCGGTGGGCAGAACTAATTGGAGAACAGTATACCTGGCCTGAAGTGCCCAGCAAAATGATCAACGCAAAACCGCTTCACAATTAGACATAATTTACTCGATTCTGGCACGGAGTAAAAACGAACGAAGCGAAACGAAGCATTGGGTATCGACTGACTTTACCCCACTTTGCTTACGGATGAGGGAGGACTGACGAAACTCACACAGTGCCCTTAGAAGACATATTTCCAGAGGGACACCTCATGTCGTATCTGTCTACGAAAAGAGATGGTAGATCCGAATGTGAGAACTAACAGAGTGCCAGTTTAATCATTATGGCTTCCAAATTGCCCACTCGTGGCCTCCTATACAGACTCATCAAGATAAGCAACAGGTGTAGTGATGAAAACGAAGCACAGTCCCATTTGCACTGTGGATGCACTGACCACATCCTTATCATACGATAACTTGCCTACCATCGCCAAATACATATAGGGCTGGAGGGAAGGCTAGTTTTCACCTTTTAGCCATAAAAAACATGCAGAGCTTGGTACTGTCGCTTATCCAACACTAAGTACTTATTGGAAACTCGTCAATACGTGGTTTGGCACCTTAAAAAGAGACAAAAGAAACCTAGTTACGAACCGCGAACTGTACCTCGATTCCGAAAAAAGCAGCAGTTCATGTGACAGTGAGTAGTTCATTGTTTTACCATGTGTATACCAAAACTTGGCAGAGATGGCTTCAGATCTGTTGCTCAGGGCTTACAAATGATGCAGTCATAAAATCGAATTTTACGGAACTAAGCGTTCAGATGAACAATGCTTCCACAGTGTACAATTCATCATGACATCACAATTCGTCTCCCGGAGGTAGCGATGGTGACGCTGTGTCCGGAGGGTGGCAACTCGGAACCACAAAAACAACACGCCGACTGCGTGAATGCATGATCAACTACCTATGGAACCAAAGGCGCGCCATAATTGGTCAGAACGTAAACTAGTCAAAAGCGGACTCAGTCCTTCTTCCCGTGCCACGAACATCCTAGCACGACCTTGCAGAGAATCACTTAATTGGTAATAGTTCATCCAATTGCAGGGTTTCTAAAGCATCTCGGTAAACCATGGGGGATGGTACAGTGAGCCAAGAACGATTACAGCTGCCGACAGATTTGAACCAGGTTGATCCTCGGAGAGTCAGCGTCCTTCATCCAAAAAACGTACACAGGATGCAGTTGCTGGGCGCTGTTTGTGGAAGCCACCCATGGATGCGGTTCAACTAAGTAAGCCAGAGCAAGCGTCTACTATTTTAGCTCATGCCTCGTTAAATTAGCATCAGATCATTCTCAACCGAGGGACGCGTTCATACTAGGGAGCATTTGGAAGTGTCTTTAGCAAATAAACCTGCCAAATATCGCGTCTGATTGTGTGGCGCGGAAATTCGTGTTATATGGTAGAATGTGCTCACGCAAAAACTGAATGCTTCTTTTTCTCGCGCTGTCCAATGTCCTCAACTTGCGCCTTCTGATATCGGAGTGAGTATCTCATCTCACATTCAGCCCCTGACCTCTCCCCCCTTTCGACTTTCAAGGCTCGCTCTTCGTTTTCGATCCCGAATGCCCCGATTCTAACCTCTATACTGGGACTAAATCCCGTTTGGGTAACAAATTGCTCAACGTGGATGGTGCATGGTTAATTTGCCGAAAGCTCTCCCTGAGGGCAAAATGTTATGAAAAAGGTTTTATTCCCGGTAAATTTTTCATAAAAGAATCCACTCACAAGGTTGCAGTCCCCGAGTTTCCGTCAAATTTATGTTCTACTTGAACCCGAATTGGACTGTTTTTGAGAAATACACTCATTCGCAAGTCCATTTTTATTTTCACGAGAGACTCAACTGAATCTCTCATTTATGATATTCTACAACTGAATGTGCGGCACACAGGCCGCCTCATGATTTAGTTGGCACGATATTCGAGACATCGCAGTATATTTTCATAAAGGAAACTACTCACAAGTTTGCTGAAAACTCTTCGACAGCCCAAGACCGGTTTCGCCCTTCTTGGGGCTCATCAGGTAGGTGCAGTCCCCGAGTTTCCGGATTATTCTCTGATTCATTGCAGCTGCTACAGTTTAGTTGACAATGTCTGTCAACTCAACGCTGAATGCATTCTCACATGTGTCCACCTGTCACTCAGATATCTTAGATTCATACAACAACCGGGACCTAGAACTTTCTGTTGTAAGGATCACCTGTACGCACCGACCTAATGGGCGTTCACTGACTGTTACACTTTGTTGTCTCAACCCATTTTTACTCTGAGTCTGCCAGTATAGTGCAGTTTTTCATTGGCGCCTGGGTTATTCTTGTACGTTGTTGCTAACTTCCCGGCGCCGATGGTTAGTAAGGCACGAGCAATCTACCATTTGGAGATGAGAAGGTGAGTTGTGTCCACTCACAGAATCAATAAACTGAATATCCGATAGTAGTCCTGTCAGCTGTCTATCTTTTTATTTCTGGAAAAAACTATCTGCCTGAGCAGAAACGCTGTGACGGACGATCGTCACTGTAGGAGAGACGCGTCTACTCTGGCATGTTGTCTCTGCATCTCAGGAAATTTTCTGGCTCACAAAAGAGTTTAGTGTGCCAAGTAACTTTGTCTTGGCGGGAGATTCAGCTTAGATTAGTCTGAATCTGTCGTTTTAATACTTTTCAACGAGGCA